AGAGATAGATATTCCTGTCTATGACAACAGCTTGTGTTTGATTTTGTTTCTTGCAGATTACATATCAGTGATATTTCGTAAAGAAATAACGACAACTTATACTTTCATTTAGCACTTTTCTCTTATAGTAGCATATGACTTTAGGCAAAATGATGTCATCATTAGAACACAATTCATTCATAAAAGGTGCTTGGGAATGACATCATTTAAAAACATTGACTTGTCTTACATGGCGGATGTAAGACTAATAATATCTGTCACATGTTGCGGTTCGGACCGGAATATCCGTCCCAAGGTGACCCGCCCATGGGCGGGTGACCGAGGGACAGATATTCCCATCCGAACCGCAAACACATGTCAGATATTTTTTCTTGCATATTCTACCATATTCCATTAAATTTTAAATTCTTTATCTTTACTTTCAATGAAAATTTATATCATTACAATTGTAACTACTTTCTACAACAGCGTATGAATTACAACTTTATTCATAACGGCAAAATGACGTCATCCTAAGCGTGCCATTGTACAGCAAGCGACTCATCTGGCACCCCCCATGCCAGATGAAATTTCTGGTATGGGTAAAACTCACGGAAACGCCAGTCTGATATGCAAGAAAGGTTTTTCTAGCACCGGTGAAAACAGTGGATAATCCTATCTGATATGCAAGAAAAAATCTTTCCTGTTTCAGCAAAATATGACCTCAGTTGTGTTGGTGTGCCAAACCAAACCAAACCAAAAATTTTTTTCAAATGATTACAAGCCTTATACATAAAGATACTTATAGACACTTCACTGAGATCCAAAAGCATAAAAACTTAAGATTTGAATTTCTGAAATAAATTAACTCGGGCCACATAAAGTTACACAAGAAATATCTAGAAATTATACTTAACTAAATTGAAAATTTTATCATGATTCTATTAGTATATAATTTGAGTTTAAAGCTGCATTAATATGCTTTTCAATATCTGATCATTTTTTTGTTCACATAATTGCTCTCGAAAAAAGTTAGCAAATTATCTGAAAGTTTAAGCAAAGTAATATTTGTCCAGACTTTCATCAAATTGTACATAAATCTCAACTCCCATGATGCCAAAATAGAAGTCCCTTTAAGAAGCAAATTGTTTTTAATAATTATAAAATATTGAAATTTTTAGAGGGTGGGAGATCTTGTTTCATAAGTATTAATAGATCACTATGATTAAATAAAAAAACAAGAACAACAAAAAACAACACAAATTTTATTGTAAATAATTATCATCAACACATCAATTTTCATCAATTAAATGATTTAAATATTATAATAAATCTTTTTGAAAAGTTAATTTGCTTTTATTTATTTTTTTTTTTTTATTTCAATCTTATATGACAATGTAGAGATAATATAGCAATTTTAAACTTATAACTGTTCCTTGAAAACAAAATAGAATTAATTAAGAGCCTTGGATTTACAATTGTGCAATTTTGGCAACAAAAATGGGTAAAATGTAGAAATAAGTATTTAAGAATATGCCAGACCTAACTTAATACCTGCAAATATAACAATACTGATTTTTATTGTATTGAAATTTAACAGCAACACTGTGCTAACTGGAGTTAGTACAGTGTTATCATCCAATAAGTAAATTTTGATTAATGCAACACAGTTCTAACTTGAGTTAGCTCTCTGTTGCATTTAAGTTATACTCACATTTGAGATAGAGCAAAATGCCAAGTGGTAAATAAAACCCATAAAATTTCACAATTATTTCTAATATTTTATTTACTGATGTATTTCATGCAATTAGGCTAAAATATGCAAAAAAGTCATTTTTGAAAAAAAATCAAGTTAGACCAGTATTGCGTTCAGCCATCGATATGTCCCCGGGAGTATTAATAATGTTGACAGCTTCCATTTAAGAACATAAAATTTCCGTCAAAATAGCTCCCAAGGATATTTTTTTGTACATATAAAATAATTGCAGTTTTTTTAATATATATGATAAGATTGCTATTATATTAGGTCAAAAACATGAAAATAAAAATTATAGCAGATGTATTTTGAGTTTTAATCATGTTTTAAATTTCATGTTGCTAACGTCATTATTTGACAGAATATTTGACGGATATTTTTACGTTCACAACATTCAGAAATTGGAAAAATTAAGCATTCTCTTTATTATAATTAGCAGCATTTTATTCTAAGTAATAAAAGATTGAAAACTGTATGTAAAGGAAGTACTATCTCTGCAGGGAACAGGCCAGATACAGATTTATTCATTTTTGATGATGTTGCTAAACGTCATTTTTTGACGGAACAAATTGTTGCTAGCATCATTTTTGGACGGAACAAATGTTCTTTCACAATTTCTAAAGTACTTTTTCGCAATGGATACAAGAAAACAAATGACAACAAGTAAAAGTTTTCTAAGAGCAAACAAGTAAATTATGTAAATTTATTTGGACATTATCCGAAATTAACTGTCTAAACACTGGTCATCAACTGTTCTAGGCACTAAAGAACGTATTTTACAAAATAATCTGACAATGGCTATTGAAACTTTTCAAACAAGATTGCATTTGAGAAAAATGCTATGCCACCGCATTAATACAACACTAAATAGTAGTGTAGGAACAGATTTTTTTTGTTTCTATTCAATTTTGTAGATTGTCATAATGCATAGATCCCTGACCTATCTAATTCTTATCAGATTAGTGGTTAAATCTGTTGTTAACTCAATAAAAGATCAGAGTAGGAATATATCAATGCACTCAAGTCTAGTGAATTTGGTGGTGAAGGTCATATTTCAAACAGCCTAAATTTCATGACTACATCAAAGGACAACACAGTAAGACACTTTGTCAAAATCTAGGTCAGCTGATATCAAAGTTCACTTTACATCTTAATCTGTGCACATGGTTCAAATTTCATAGCTGTACATCAAAGGACAAGAAAGTAGGTCACATCATCAAAATCTAGGTCACCTGATATCAAAATTCAATTTTACAACTAAAACTGTGCACATGGTCAAAATTTCATTGCTGTACATCAAAGGACAAGAAAGTAGGTCACTGTCCCCTTGGGCAAGGCAAAATTTTGGACCCAAGGGTTTAATTCAAAACAATCTTGATACAGGTCCACCAAACAACATTTCAAGTCAAATATCTAAGCTGTAGCTTTCTCCCATTCAGAAAACATTTGTTTTATTTTCTGTTTTTACTATGTGTACATAATGAGAATCACTGCCCCTGGGCCTGGCCAATTTTAACACCAGGGGAAAAATTTGAACAACTTTGGTAGAGGACCTATAGATGATATATATAATATAGCAAACATCAAAGCTCTATGCCTTGTACCTTCAGACAAAAATATTTTTTATTTTTTTACTATATGTACATAATGAAAATTAATGACCCCCGGGGCAGAACCAATTTTGACCCCAGGGCTATAATTTGAACAATCTTGGTAAAGGTTCACTTCGCAAAGTCTCATGCCATATATTTAACCTCTAGCCTTTGTCAATTCAGAGAAGAGGATTTTTCAATTCTGAGAAGAGGATTTTTCAAGTTTTTACTTTATACATATAAGGAAAACTATCGCCTCTGGGGCAGTGCAATTTTAACACTAGGGGCATAATTAAAACAACTTTAGTAAAGGACCAATAGATAATACTATATACCAAATATCAAAGCTCTAAGCCTTGTACCTTAAGACAAGAAGATTTTTAATTTTTTACTATATGTACATAGTGAAAATCAATGACCCCTGGGGATGGGGCCAATTTTGACCCCAGGGCTATAATTTTTACAATCCTGCTAGAGGTTCACTACATAATGTTTCATGCAAAATATCTTAACTCTAGCCTTTGTAAATCTAGAGAAGATGATTTTTTTAAGTTTTAACTATATACATATAAGGAAACCTATGGCCCCTGGGCGGGGCTAATTTTGACACTAGAGGCAAAATTTGAACAACTTTGGTAGAGTACCTATAGATGATATCATTTAACAAATATTAAAGCTCTAAGCCTTGTACCTTCAGACAAAAAGATTTTTTTTTATTTACTATATGTATATATTTGAAAATCAATGACCCCCGGGGCGGGGGCAATTTTGACCCCAGGGCTATAATTTGAACAATCTTGCTAGAAGTTCACTTCACAATGTTTCATGCCAAATATCTAACCTCTAGCATTTGTCAATTGCTAGAAGAAATTGTTTTAAAGTTTTTACTATAAGTTTTTACTATATACATTTTAGGAAAACCAATGACCTCCGGGGCGGGGTCGATTTTGATCCCAGGCCTATAATTTGAACAATCTGGGTAGAGGTCTACCAGACAATGCCTTATGCAAAATATCTAAGCTCTAGGCTTTTGAGTCTTTACAAGAAGGTATTTTAAGTTTTTACTAAATGTACATATAGTGAAAATCAAAGACCCCCGGGGCGGGGCCGATTTTGACCCCAGGGCTATAATTTGAACAATCTTGGTAAGGGTCTACCAGACAATGCCTTATGCAAAATATCTAAGCTCTAGGCTTTTTTGGGTCTTTACAAGAAGGTATTTTAAGTTTTTACTATATCTATATATAGTGAAAATCAATGACCCCGGGGCGGGGCCGATTTTGACCCCAGGGCTATAATTTGAACAATCTTGGTAGAGGTCTACCAGACAATGCCTTATGCAAAATATCTAAGCTCTAGGCCTTTTGGGTCTTTACAAGAAGATTTTTTTAATTTATTCTTATAATTCCTTTTGGTTGCCATGGCAACCAGATTTCTGCATGGAATGAAATTCTTTGAACAACTTTGGAAGCGCTTCACCCAAGGATCAATCCTGCCAAGTTTGGTTGAAATTGGACTAGTGGTTTTTCACAAGAAGATTTTTTAAGTTCACTATATAATCTATATAACACACACACACACAAACAAACAAACAAACACACACACACACGCACACACACACAGGTGAATCGCTATATGCCACCGCATCGCAGATGCTGCGGTGGCATAAAAATATATTATATTTCTAACAGTTTTTGTAAGAAAGTATGAAAACAGTCTACACCAAATTGGATGTAAAAGCACCAGTCACCATGTCGGCCTTTCTGATGGGCTATTAAGTGTAACTGTACACCAAACACTCAAAATTTGTAGTATAATCTAGATCCATGCATAGACAGTAAAGGTTTAGCAAGTTGTTTAATGATATCCTCCCAACAAAGAAAGAAAGATTTCTCCTCCAATGTCTATAATTGTCGCTTTCCTTTCTTATAGAACTGGACCCACAATCCATAGACTTTCTCCTCTCTGTGCAGCTCATGGGTTTGAACAACCTGCAAAATGATGTACAATCAATGACTTGTTGCACCAATAACAATCAATTACCAGTATCTATCAAAGAGGTCAAACTGGACTCAATGAGCTAATCAAATGTATTTACCAAGTATTCACAACTGGTAATGAAGTCAAGCTGATTGACATTCAAATGTTGCTTCATATCATCACAATAATAACCGGAAGAAAAGACTTAAAAATGCATATACACTACATGTATAAACAAATAATATTTGCACATGAACAGACAACTGCTTTACCTGAATAGTAAGGCTATATTATTAGTTATAAAGATTTTTGACAGGTTATATGGCCCTATATAAATGGCTGTTTGTAAAATATAACCCAAATCGCTAGCAAGGATCATTTTTAGAGGAATAAAGCAAGATTTCTTTATTAATCAACAATATCTGTGTCACGTGTATAAAACACTATATAAACGTCAAGATTATCCAATGAAAAGCGACGTTACAAACATGCAGTATTATAAAAATTATTTAATAATTAATCTTTATTAAATAAATGCTATATGGCTGGGGCTTGAAATACTGTTATATGGCTGGGAATTAAAACTCATGTTGTATGGCTAAGGCTTAAACTCATGAACTCGGAGATTGATATCTGACTGCAAATCTTGTCAGCAAGAGTGCCTTATATTGGGTTTTAACCATATATTAAATGTGATGAAGACAAAAAAAACAACTTTTTAACACACAAGTAACAATTTTTTTTAAAAACATAACTTCCAAAGTAACAAAAATGGAACAGCACAATACAGGCCAAACAAAAGTAATGCATTGAAGAACAAAGCCAGTACTAATTGCTTAAGCTTCTTATAAACGCTGATAAATCTTTGTCCATTTCCAGAAAAATTGAAAAAAAATACTGATTGCACCTTTTGACAGACAGCTGACGAATTTGCTAGTTTGCATTGCCTTTTTTTTGTGTACTGAATTTAACCAAACTGTTAAAACATTACTACTTACAACAGCATTAAAACTTTCTGATCCATTTCTGATGAGAAGGTTAGTTCCTACAGGGTACCTGCATGAAAAGTTGTTGAAATGTAGACCTTTAAAAACTGACAACCATGCCTTTAAAAACTGATTCAAAAATTAACTTGTGCACACACTCTCCATATCATTTTAGACATATTAATCACCTCTTTTTCTGCCTCACTTGAAACAGAGGTGCGAGATGAAAGACTTAAGACACAAGGACTTTTATCAATTGGTCAGAGAGAAATGGCCTGACCGAGAATCAAAGCTACAACTCTCAAAATGAAAAACAAGTGCACTTACCACCGCACCATCATGCCGGGCATTTTATAGGGTGGGTATACAAAGAGATATTGTTTCATTTACTATTCATAATTTACCTTTGCTTGGTAGCAGGTATACCAATGTCTTCAATCAAACTGTCCGCCAAATCATCGCCACAAGTCTTCAAATGCTTCGAGTCACTGCAAACAAACAAGATTTTTACATATAAAGTAAATATTAAGTATTCCTACATATATCATTACTCGGAATTTTTAGGTATACCTTTCTGCAAACTTGTAGAAACATAACTTTTAAAGACATATAAATGAGAAAACAGAAAGCATTAATTTGTAATAAGGCAAGTTATTCATAGTTTAGCCTGGAACCCCGTTGTATCGATCTATTTACCCATAAATCACAACTGAATTTAAAAAAATCAAATCTCACTGAATATTTAATTTGTATCATTTATTTTGATCCTTTTGCCATAATATTTACTTGGCAAACATCACTGATATATAGTTTTTAGCTTTGGAATATACGGATATTTACAGACATGTCAAACAGGTTGAAGAATTAGGTCACGTCATTATATCGATGCATTGTGAGAATCGCTCAGTTAGTCAAAGTTTGGGAAACATTAACCATCTTTATGTTAGATAAATTAGTCAATTAATAACATAGATGTCTGTTTTAAAATGTCAGCATAAATTTAGGAACTTTTAACAGACAGTAAATGTACTTTTAATAAGAACATATTATTTATAAGTCTATTTATTATCTACAGCGTCTTACGGTACTGGAAACATGTTTTTGATCATTTTACTGTACAAAAATAAATGCGAAAGATTTTCGTGACACTGTTGTAAATGTTAACAATCAGTAGGTGACGTATTTTGCAAAAAATCTAAAGATTTGTGAATAGATCGATACAATGAATAGCACGATACATGGGGTTCCACTATACCTTTGCTTGAGAAGTGACAATTACATGAAAAGTGACATTTACATACTGTTCATATGTTTATAGACAATAAATAGTTTAGTACAGTGAAGATAAATGTTATACTCAGACAATAAATTATATTGATTATTATGTTTTGTTCTGGTTTTCTATGTAATCCATTGTTAGTCATTTGATATTCCAATCCACACATTTTTTTTAACAACATTTAAATAAGAAAATGAACAAAGAAAAAAAAATGGGGCCGATCTGACTTGAGGCCGATTTTGCTTGGGGCCGATTTGACTATTTTGGGGCCGATCTGACTTGGGGCCGATCTGACTTGGGGCCAATTTGACTGTAATTCAACTCAATCCATCTCTCACTCCCTAGTATTACTGACACTACAATGTTTACATGTAGATTTATTATGTCAATACATTGACAGTTGTCAAAAATATGACGATCGCATCATTAACAGCCGTCAAAGAATGACGATAGCACCAATTGTGTATGTCGATAAATGACGTATGCAACAAGAATGTCCGTCAAAAAAATGACATTCGCAACAGCTTTAAGCGTAATCAGTCATTGGAAGCAGTAGACGTCCCGTGTATTCGTCTATTTCCTGCATACAACTCGACTTTAATATGTTTTCTCTTCTTTAAAATATATAAAAATATCTATATGTACTTATTGTTGCTATCGTCAACATTTAAAACACTTGACAGACACAAACTTACTCAAAATAATTTGGATCATGTAATCGAGCGTCTCAATTCGGCCATGTTTTTGCATTCGGATACTTACAGTACAGATTTAATCGTAGTTTCTTGTTACTACGCTAAAAAGGGAAGTAACAGCTATAAACTGAGGAACAAATGTGCGAACGTCATTCACTAAAATTGACAGAAATTACGATCGCAACCTTTTTTCAATAAAATTTCTGGTTATGGCTTCAAAACTTAAGAAACCACCTGTAAAACCAGAAAGTACCAAGTTTAACACTAACTTTGAATCCCCACCCAATACATAATCACACAATAACCGAGTCGATGGACAGTTTTTTGCGAACGTTGCTTTTTTGACAGACATTCATTGTTCATCATCTACATTATTCTAATTCCTTTATTTTGCAAAATAATTGAAAAACACATAAACTAATCAAATAGAATGCAAGGCAATACATACCCCAACAATAAATTGTCTTTGTTGAAATAAAACTTCCAATATTATTCGAAAATGCGAGTATATATCCGACCTGGTGAAGAAGCTGGGAGTACCGTCCGTCAAAAATATGATGATTTCCAATTTAAATTTTAGTTATTTTGTTCATTTCAATATAAAATTAGATCGGGAAATTGATTTTTATTGATTTTATTGATGTACTTTATTCAAATAAATGCATGTACTTTTCAGGTGAGCTAATTTAACCCCAAAAAATCACATTTCATAAAATTGACGGAAATTTGACAGAACTTTTACGTTCTTAAATGGAAGCTCTGTTGTAGTGTTACGTACCAGTACCCCTCTTTAATACGATTTTGATATCAAAATCGATATAAAAATTGTTTCAAAAATAGACACTTCGTGACAAATTACTGAGGAATATAGGAGTGCTTGATTACAAGGAAATATCTAACAAAAAGAAAAAATGCAATGGGCCACAATTTACCTAAAAACAATTGATATGCACAAAAGCTGAATTTGGTTTAATCCCTATGACAAGATAAGAAGTTGATGACTACTGAAGATCATTTCTCTATATTCAGCACATAAATTTGGGGTTAAAAATCACTATTCCGCCCTGTATATTTTCTTATCACGAAACCATCTCAAAATGTATCTCACACTTGGTGGTAATACTTCTGTTAAATTAAGTTTGAAATTTCTCAGAAAGTAAAAAATCTTAAAAATACAGACGTTGCAAGCAGAATAAATTCTTTATACTCTCCTACTAATCTTTCTTACCGTCATTTCCCTATGTAACGATGTGCTTTATTTTCAGAAAGCATAACAACAATCTAAGGGTATTATATATATCATACAATACTGTTGTATCTTACTTTAGATCACTGAAATATACAATTCTTGCTTTTTTTGGTAACTAAGGACCAAACACAAGTCTACATAAATAGTATCTAAATATTGTTTACCTCCTCAAACATATTCGTCTTATTATTGAGGTTTTCATGTATTTTCCCCTGGAAGTCTTTGTAATTGAGAATAACGCTGATTATACCATTGAAGTCTGTTTCTGCTGCAGATGTTTTATCTTTATACCCATCTGGAGGCATGAAGCATTTCGCCACTTCCCAGAAACTACTACACCACTGTGAAGCATCAGTGTTTTTGTAAGATGGACCAGAGTACCTATGCGCATTCTGTATCTCAGTTGTGAAATTATGACATATCTTGTTAGGGCAGCCGGCAGGATTATACCTTGTTGCAGCATTTCGATGATAACTGCATTTTCCACGTCCAACATTACATATTCTATTTGTTGGACATTTAATAACATTTTCCGTACAGCAATTCGAACACAAAGTCCCACTAAATAGTCCATTTTTATAACATATATCATCTAAGCATTTCAATTGGAATTGTTTGATTTCATTGCAAACAAAAGGTTCAATACCTTCTTTAGTAAACAACACTGCTAACTGAGATTTAACCCAGTTATTGTATTTCTTTTCTAAAAGTTTAGGGCTATAAGAAGCCATTACTTGCAAACTTTGTGTCTTCCAACTTAAAGAATTATATACACTGACATGTCTTGTAAACTAAGCTCCGAGGTTAACCTGAAAAAAATAATTATGTAAAATGCTATAGTATATAATTACATTTCAAGAGGGATCTTTCACTATCATTTAAAGGTGTAATGCAATATACAATTTAATTTAGATATGTATTCAGGTATTTGATTACTCTCCCGCGCATCGGTAGAATGTTCCACTTTCGCTCAATTTCTGAAGTAACGTGAGTGTATTCAGTGAGCTGCGAAGGGAGCGTAGTATTTGATATACTATGTACTATAATTATATAGTAAATAAATGCAATGAGGGACTTTAGTGGATTATCTTCCCTTGATAAAAACCGAAGTAAACCAAAATGTAAGTAGGTCCAAATATTTGGAATCTTTTGATTTTATCGTTGAGTTTTATGTAAGACAGGTTGATATGTCTTAATCAATTATTTCAACATGCATCAACAAATATGTAAACCTTAAGCAAAAAATGTTTCATTCATGTCAAAGGGTTATACACCTTATCGCAAAATTTAATCTGATTATTACAAATGATCATAATTAGCCCTAATTATTTTGGTTGGTTCAAAGAAATAGGCGATAAAGTCCGAGTAATCCAATAGCTTAGGACCTACCTATTTATAGGGAGTACTCAGGGGAGGTTATTCACTAAAGTCCCTCATTGTTTTCAGTTTTCATACTCTTTAAGATGACAGTGCTTGTTAAAAAGAAATACAAATGCAGCAATTCAAGCAATTCAAGCCTGAAAATATTGGCAGATATATCAAACTTTGAATTTCAAATTTATAATAATATTACAATAGTAATATAAATCCGTGGTTGAACATTTCTATCGGGCAATTAATTTATCTGAACAGACATATCTTCAAAGTTTTCCATAGGGTTAATTCAGCTTGGCACCACTTTATATAACATTTAAATGGTAAGGCAGTTAATTTATGTATGCGGTACATTAGATTATGGAGCTGTTTTGGAAACCAATTGGTTTAATGGATCTTGGTCTCCATTCCTTTTGCAAATATCACTTACAGTGTTATTTTTTCTTCAACAACATTCTATCACTTGAGCTTTGTGATGTTCATTAAGCAATTTACACATGTATCGTCTAACATTCTGACAATAATGCCTCGGTTCATTATAAACAAGAACCGGTTGAACCGGGTGATGTTCCCCGAGAAGGTTATGGACACAGGAAAGTAAAAAAATGATCAAAAGGCAATAACTCCGTGATGATATCTTTTATAGTTTCAGAGTTATGTCCCAGGTAAAATTCAAAGTGTAAAAATGAACAAACATTGCTGTTCTATCCAATGAGATCTATCTACATACAAAGTTTCATGTTATTATCTCTTACCATTTAGGGCTCGGTGTCTGAAGAGTTTGCTTGTCTGGCGTTCATGAAGATCAAAACTTTTAGGATCTAGCTCAATGCTCATGGCAGAATGTTCTATTTTTTCCCAATTAATACTAGAAATGTGTCAACGGGTGCGGCCACACTCCACTGTTTTGTCAAACTTATGAATCTATGTCAAATGTTTTTGGTCCACACGTGACATACGTTGTAAACAACAAGTCTTTTACTAATTTAAACATAAGTACACATGTTGACCAATTTTTTGTAAACATTCAGGCCGACAGGTCAAATACTTTTTAAGTTATGCATGAACAAGTTGAAAATTGCAAAATCAAATCCACATGCAAAACCCCAGGTGCACAGCTTCACTGTGATGTTGATAATTATTCCTGTTAAGTTGGTTGATTCTAACTCAATCTCTCAGGGAACACATAAAAAATAAAACATTTTTTACTTAGTCAAGGGCAATTACTCTTCAAATACTGAATAAATCCACAACTTAACGCCAAGGTGCACAACTACACATGCAAACAAACATTTCTGTAAAGTTTCATGACTTGAAGTCAAATACTTTTTTAATGAGCAACACACGACCCAAGTTGGAAATTACAAATTTTTACTTATTCAAGGGCAATAACTAGAATTACTTTATAAATCCACAAGCGACCCCCCCCCAGGTGCATGATGACCAACATTCCTATTAAGTTTCATGACTCTATAATAAATATTGTTACGCACCACACAATTTGAAAATTGCAATTTTTTACTAAGCCAAGGGATATAACTCTGACAAAAAAGAAAAACTCCACAAGCAAAACCCCAGGTGCACAACTTCACATGCTGAGCAACATTCCTGTTAATATTTTCATAAATCAAGGTCAGATACTTTTGAAACTTGTGCGACCCAAGTTGAATATTGCAATTTTTACTAAGTCAAGGGCAATAATTATGACAGAATATGACTCTAGGTTAAATACTTTTGAGTCACGTGCGACACAACATGAGAAATGACAGACGGATGGAAGGAAGGACGGACAGACAAGGGTAAATCTAAATGCAAACCCCCATATTGGGTGGGGGCACAACAACTTGTTAACATTAATACGTTCTTTGAGTCGAGTGAATATTTCATTTTGTAATTTAGTTTGTTTACGACTTACATAAAAGCCCATTGCAAGCTGTCTTGATTTTTTTATTGTTTTACGAGCTACGCAAACTCCTGAGCCTATCCAGCTGATCCACTTGAAGGCTATTGGCAAGGTCAAATCTCAACGCTGACAAAGTACAAATTAGTCCATCTTGCTACACTGTAGTAGAGATTGAATGTAAGACGGGTTATTTATTAGCCCAAAAAATTCTTGGCCAAGGCTTTTTATTATATAGGCGTTGGTCGCACTTCGCGAACAAGCCATTAATATTCAAAACAATGCTGGAAATGTTTATGTTCCAGAGATCGTTTACTTTGACGGCATTGAATATTTATTCAAACTCAATTTCATGAAAAAATACAAACCTGCAAAGCTTACTCAAAATATAATCAGAAAGTTTTATGTTTATTTAGCTGTTAATATAAACTAAGCATTAAGGCAGATATGAAGATTGGGTATCTATGCAATAAGTTTTACGTTTGGGTGTAGATAAATAATCTTGCGAATCGTTAATAATGTCATTTTTCAATGGAT